TTGTTGAGAGTGGACATAACAATGAAAAAAATAAAGATATCAGTCTCGAAGATTATGAAAATGACGGATCTATCAGGAATAATGTTTGATGATTGATTCACTTGATTTGTTGTTTTTGAAGGAGCAAAGTATCATAAAATTAAGGGGTAATTGCATGTTAGTCCCTTAAATCAGTCTTAATGGCAAAATAGTCCCCTAAAACTCAATATTTTCTAGTTGGATTAAGCTTTAGCCCAACATATAAAACTACCTAAGTGCCCTTGAGTATACAATACTCTCCCAAGTAACCGAAATACCCTTGTTCCCAAATTTTTCCCGCTCTCTAAAAGGAGAAAAGGCTCTGTATTGGATTTGGGGAAGCTCCTGACAGATGGAGAAGAAGTTGGTGGGTTTGGGTTTTAGTTGGAGCGGGTTGCGAGTACAAACTTGTCATGAAACGGGTTGGTAAGGTTTTAAATGATAAGGTTAATTATATGTGGGAGTATAATAAACCATCTAATTCCGTTAAAGTTAATAGAAGTTCACTCTCATAAATAATATCACCTAAGATGAGCGATGGATTTGCAAGAAAGTTTGAAGATTTGAGGAAGTAATAAACTCATTAGACTTGAGTTTATAATATTCTTGAACTCTTCTTCCATAAGTTCTACTACTTCTCCTTGGTCAACCATCACCATGTCTTATATTTGTCCAGATGCTTGTGATGTATATGGTTGTAAACATAATAACATAAACTATTACACGTGAGTCAATTTCTCTATACTTAGGAAACGACGCGCGTTATGATATATATGGAGAACGATACATGATACACATCCCATGTGACAATTTTAATCATTAGCAGAATTTTTTTTTTTCATCTTACCCATAAACGGTAATTTGTTGTTAAATATGGGATAGCACGCATGTACTTGCCATTTGCTCACCACTCTAGCCCTTGACAAATTATAGATATCACGATTAATATGAAGTCACAAAGGCAGACCCAGAAACTTTGCTCGGTAGGGGCCAGATTGTAAGCATAGTTGCATGGAACCCGGTTCGTTCTGGTTCAGGGACGAAAACGTAAGCGTGGTACGCCACTCATTAAGAATGAGTGTAGGCTTATATAGTATGCTAGGGAATGTGGTACGTGTTGGATTTGATTCTTAAATGTAGGAATTTAAGGATTTACAAGAGTCAAATTTAAGCAATATGCTAGTTGACATTAGTAATGCTAATAAAAAGAACCTTGAGAATTATGTTGCAATCAAGGTATGCATACTTAATTTACTTAGTTTCTCATGTTTTTTTATTTTTTATTCTTTTGATGGTTTGAATTCTAAATCGAGTCGATGAAGTTGGTGAATCGGGTCGTGTTCCATCACGAACCAGGGATAATTGAACCCAGGTCGCAGTTCGCTATAGCATCCCACGTTCCCGACATCTATGATTATAAGCTACAAGTAACTAGTATATGATACTTTTAGCTAAATATTAGGAGCTTTTCATATTAGTCCCCCAAATATTTTATGTTTTATAATTAGTCCATCAAATCTTCATATTTTGAAATTAGACCCCCAAATTTTAAATATTTTAAGATTAGTCCCCTAAACCTCTTGAAGTGTTTTAAAATTAGTCCCTACAGTTAGTACTGGGTTGAAAGATTTGGGGGCTAATTTCACACGCTTTATGTATTGGGGGATTAATTTTAAAATATGAAGATATGAGTGACTAATCTCAAAGTATGACAAATTTGGGGAACTAATATCGAAAAAACTAATATTAATGATGCCAATACAAATGTGCTATGTAGAAATAAAATAGAGTCAATAGAAGTACCTAATCAAAATTCTTTACAATTGTTCCCTCCATGTCGCTCACAATTCGCGAGTAGATTCCTCTCGCGATTATAGAAGCGGAGCGAAGACCGGAAGAGGTTTTGTTTCAGAATTTGGATGAATCGATCACCAATGAGAATTTAGGTACTAGGTAAAGCATTCTGGTAAATGGTATGAGTTTGGCCCTATGCGTTTATTTTCAAAAACCTTGGCTACGGGGTCAACAATATCAAACATTGAGGGGGCAGTTTGAAAATAAGGGCCTCATATTAAATATTAATCTTACTAGGTCAGTGGGGGCAATTGCCCCCACTGCCCCCACCTTGGATCAACGATATCCGAGACTCACGCAGGGGGTAACTATCTCCCTCCTCAGGAATACTTAATTCAACTCATGCATACTTTACTACCACCATTATATTAATTACAAAACTTCCACCAATAAGTCTTAACCTTAATTGATTCCACGTTCTATCTTCAACATAATCCTTTCAAATTTTTATATACACCTCGATAACTTTATTAAATTCTAACTTACCCCTCAAGTTTTCAAAAAAAAAAAAAAAGAAATCAGCTCAAGAAACAGATAGTTACTTGGCAGCATGAGTATGCTCGAGGGTATAGTATCCAGCATGATGCCCGAGCTCCTCCACCGAAACATCGGATCCGATATGTCCCAGTACGTCAAGATTAAGCTTCTTCTCGACTATCCGAGGGCTCGAAGACGCTGCTGCCCCATCTTCGACCTCGTTATCGCCCCCGTCGAACCCCCGGAGTCCAGGGAACAAGTTGAGATCTCTGATGAGGTCGGCGGCGAATCGGCGAGGAGATCGATGGAACGATCGAGAAGGATTAGGGTTAGGGTTAGGGTTTGCGGAGGAAGCGAGGAGGAGGAGAGAGAGGGAGAAGAGAGTGACGAAGCGAGGGAAGGAGTCCATACTCGAGTTCGGGAAGTGGGAAAGTATTCAAGTGGTCGTCATCTGTTAAGTGCTTGCTGCGGTCAGTAATAAGCCCAATAAGTATGGGCTTATTACGTAAGTCGGCAACTGGACTTCGGCCCATAACAAATTTTGCAGACTGTTTTTAGGCCTTGAATAGGCTCGCTAATGGTGGGCTTAGATTGTAACTGGACTTCGGGGCCGTAATAGTAAATGGGTCAGCGGAAAAAATAAGTATGGTAATTACGTAGCAAACTGAAATGGTAATTACGTAGCAAACGGAAAGGAAAGGTAAGGAATGGAAGTGAAAAGATAAAATGTTGTTTGGGAGTTTAGTCACGGTAACAGAAGTAAATTTGTTTTACCTTTGTTTGGGAGTTCTATATTAGAGGATGGAAGTAAAGTGAATATAGTCAAAGTTACATAAATACCCTTATATATTGGATGAGAATAAATCTTGGCCATAGATTTCAGTGTGATAAAGGTATAGTTGTCTTATTACATTATAAAATTTTACACTTGTTTCCATTACTTCCTCTACCGCCCAAATTAGAGGGGAGAAAAATGGGTGCAAATTTTACACCCGTTTCCATGTTCTAACCCCTCGAAAAAACTCCCAAACGAGGTGAAAACAAAATTTCACTTTAACTTCCATTGTTTCACCTCCATCCAAACACACCACTCGCTTATATTTTTATAACGGCACTGTTTTTGTTCTTGTTTTCTCGAAAAGATAACAAATTGAAGATAATTTGGTCAGCATTTATCGTTGCTCAACTTGTTTATAATTATCATCCCTCGACTCGTCTATTAGCATTTTTCTCATATTGAGAAATACGTAAGCATAACAAATTCATGAAACTCATGATTTGCGAAGGCAATTTTTGTGATGGATTTGTTAGTCTAAGGTGTAGATCCAAAGTTCGAGACAAGAGCTGGAATAAAAAAGATTAGAAAAACACGCAGACAGATCTGCGGTCGACCGCGAACGTGCACAGGAGACTGGGAGGGCCTGGATCAGGTCGCGGTCGACCAGGCCGGTCGACCGCCAAAACCCTGTAAGTATTTTGGTCTCGGGTTTTGATTGCGGTCGACCGCGCCGGTCGACCGCCAAACTCTCTGGAATCTGATCGGTCGACCAGGCCGGTCGACCGCGAGTATTTTTGGCAGTTTCCTGTTCCTTTTGGGATTCTGTTTCAACCAGAATTCTATATATACCCCAAACGATTTTAGGGTTTGTAACAACATCAAAAAGAGAGCTTTTTGACTGCAAAGAGAGAGAGAATCTCATAGAGATTAATCCCTTGTTTGAGAGCTTGTATTTTCTTCTTCAATTAATAAAGAGATTGTGTGGTGTGGCTCCCGAGGACGTAGGCATGTTGCCGAACCTCGTTAAATCTGTGTTTTCATCTCCTTTACTGTTTTTTTGCAAGTTAGATATTTATTTGTGGTTTTATTCCTACTTTCCTACTTTCAACACAAGGTCTGGAAGGGCAAGGGTTCGATTGATTGTTTCGAATCCCCAACAACTGGTATCAGAGCTTCGTTTAGCAATTTGTGTGAAAGCCATGGCAGAGGAAAGCAAATCAAAGATCGAGAAGTTTGACGGTTCAGACTTCGCCTACTGGAAGTCACAGATGGAGGACTATCTATACCAGAAGGACTTGTATCGTCCGTTGATGGGCAAGGAAAAGGGAAAGAAGAAAGAGGAGTCAGATGGTGATTGGGAGGTACTGGATAGGAAGGCTCTAGGGCAAATCCGGTTGTCGCTCGCCAAATCAGTAGCCCACAATATTCTAAAGGAGAAGACGACGGTGGAGCTTATAGAAGCGCTCGCGAAGATGTACGAGCAACCGTCGGCAGCAAACAATGTGCATCTAGTCAAAACTCTTTTCAACCTCAAGATGGCAGAAGGACGGTCCTTCACGATGCATCTCAGCGAGTTCAACACGATTGTTGATCAACTTATCTCCGTGGACATCACGTTCGATGACGAAGTGCAGGTCCTTCTACTACTATCGCAGTTGCCGGATAGTTGGGTAGGTTGTGTGATGGCAATCAGTAATTCGGTGGGGAAAGAGAAGTTGAAGCTGAATGAGGTTGTTAGCATGATTCTATCCGAGGAGGTTAGAAGGAAATCGTCTGAATCAGAAGGTTCAGGTTCAGCCCTAAGTTTCGAGCAGAGAGGCAGAAGCCAGAAGAAAGGGAACCAGAATAGGAATCGATCGAAATCAGTAAAGAAGAGGCCGAACTCGAAGGTTAGATCCATCAAAGGGAAGTGTTGGAACTGCGGCCAGGAGGGTCATATGTCTTCGATCTGTAAAGCACCAAAGAAGGATGCGGGTGAGCAGGAGGTTCATATCGTGCAGGATGCATTGATCCTTGCTATGGATAGCGATTCTGATTCTTGGGTCATCGACTCAGGAGCCTCTTTCCATGCCACTGCTAATAGGAAACTACTTCAGAACTATATTGCAGGGGACTTTGGCAAAGTATATTTGGGGGATAATGAACCTTGCAATATTGTTGGAAAGGGCGACGTTCAGATACAGATAAAGGGCTCTAAGTGGAATTTGAAGAACGTGAGACACGTGCCGAAGCTGAAGAGGAATCTTATTTCGGTGGGACAGCTTGGAGCAGAAGACTACGTTTCGATATTCACCGGGGATTCGTGGAGAATCTCCAACGGTACGATGGTTGTTGCCCGAGGTAATAAAACGGGAACTCTCTACCTCACTTCACATGCGAGTGACACCCTCGCAATTGCAGCTGGCAAGGAGAGTACAGATTTGTGGTACAACAGGCTGGGACACATGAGCGAGAAGGGGATGAAAATTCTACATTCACAAGGAAAGCTAACCGGGATCGACACCGTGGAAGTCGGGGTTTGTGAAGACTGCATCTTTGGGAAGCAGAAGAGGGTTAGTTTTCAGAAGGGTGGAAGGCCACCTAAGGCTCAGAAGCTAGAGTTGATTCATACAGATGTATGGGGCCCAGCCAGTGTGTCTTCTTTTGGCGGTTCGAGATACTACGTCACCTTTATCGACGATCACTCGAGGAAGGTGTGTGTTTACTTCATGAAGCACAAGTCAGAGGTGTTCGAAATCTTCAAGAAGTGGAAGGCCATGGTCGAGAACGAGACAGATCTGAAGGTGAAGTGCTTGAGATCAGATAATGGTGGAGAATACGAGCTGGAGGAGTTCAAGAGGTTCTGTGCTACGAATGTGATTCGCTTAGAGAGGACTACTCCAGGGACGCCGCAGCAGAACGGCATTGCAGAGAGGATGAACAGGACCTTGACAGAGCGTGCGCGGAGCATGCGATTACATGCAGGTCTGCCTAAGACATTTTGGGCGGATGCGGTACATACGGCAGCATACCTTATTAATCACGGGCCATCAGTTCCATTAGATTTTGGGATTCCAGAGGAGGTTTGGAGTGGAAAGAAGATAAATCTCTCACACTTGCGGGTATTTGGTTGCGTGGCTTATGTTCATATCAGTGACCATGTCAGGGACAAGCTAGAAGCTAAGTCACAGAAGTGCACATTCATTGGATACGGCATTGATGAGTTCGGGTATCGCCTTTGGGATGAAAATAACAGGAAGATCATCAGGAGCCGGGATGTGATATTCAATGAGGAGGTGATGTACAAGGACAGGGACAATGCCAAGGATAGCCAAAGCAGTGGGAACAGCACTACGGATACAGGTGGATCCGAGTACATGGATTTGGAGGAACTTCCAGATGGGGACGGCGATGTCAGTTCTGACCGTAGAACGGAGGAGACTACAGGTGCAGAAACTACTACCCAGGGCGTGAAGCTTAGGAGGTCATCCAGGGTACCCAAACCAAATCCCAAATACCTCTCGTCACTTGATTATCTACTCTTAACAGATAACGGAGAGCCGGAGTGTTATGAAGAGGCAGTGCTACCTCTCGTCACTTGATTATCTACTCTTAACAGATAACGGAGAGCCGGAGTGTTATGAAGAGGCAGTGCAAGTGAGTGAATCTCAGCAGTGGAAGCATGCGATGCGGGAGGAGATGGATTCTCTACTCACTAATAAAACATGGGAGTTAGCCCAGCTACCTGCACAGAAGAAAGCCTTGCACAATAAATGGGTCTACCGGGTCAAGCAGGAGAGTGATGGAAGCAAGAGATTCAAGGCCAGATTAGTCGTGAAGGGGTTTCAACAGCGGGAAGGAGTAGACTATACAGATATATTTTCCCCTGTTATGAAACTCACAACCATCAGAGTGGTGTTGAGTTTGGTAGCTGCAGAAGACCTCTTCCTTGAGCAGTTAGATGTGAAGACTGCCTTTCTTCATGGTGACTTGGATGAAAAAATCTACATGAAGCAGCCTGTTGGCTTCTTAAAGAAGGAAAGGAAGAGATGGTGTGCAAGCTCAAGAAGAGCTTATATGGTTTGAAACAGACTCTGAGACAGTGGTATAAGAAGTTTGACAACTTCATACAGAACAATGGCTACAGAAGATGCAATTCGAATCATTGTTGTTATTTCAAAAGGTTCGAGTCCAGCTTTATTATTTTGTTATTATATGTTGATGACATGTTGGTAGCAGGACCATGTTTAGAAGAGATAAATAGTTTGAAGAGACAGCTAGCAAAGGAATTTGCAATGAAGGATCTGGGTGCAGCGAAGCAGATTCTAGGGATGTGAATCAGTAGGGATGAAGCTGAAGGGACATTGAGATTGAGCCAAGCTGAATACATTGAGAAGGTACTTCAAAGGTTCAACATGCAGAATGCTAAAGTTATTAGCACACCCCTTGGAAGTCAGTTCAAGCTATCTGAGGAGCAATCACCTAAGACAGATGCAGATAGAGAGCATATGAGTAGGGTGCCATATTCTTCGGCCATTGGGAGTCTCATGTACGCGATGGTTTGCACGAGATCGGACATCGCCCATGCAGTGGGAGTTGTGAGCAGATTTGCAAGCAATCCAGAGAAGCAGCATTGGGAGGCCGTGAAGTGGATAATGCGGTACTTGAGAGGGACAACAAACAAAC